CTGCCAGCGCATTTGCAGTTGTTCAAGGAGATACTGTTTGACTCCGGCTTGTTTACTACAAAAAGCAGATTCATAAATCTGCCTAACAACACTGTTGTAAAACTTCAACCTATCGGTATGTGGGTTAGGAAGCAGAAATTGTTCCCACGGCTCCTTTTCTGGCGATGTCGAGTCGTTCCTCAAGACTTGTAGCGAACGGACATACAAGGACTTCAAATGGGACACCCCTATTGAGAGTGGCATGAGAATAGTAAACCTTCACAGACAATTCAGTTCATATATCACATGACCAAATATGTGAAGTTGTTGTTCAAGATTTATGAGACGTAAGTATTAATATAGATGTCACTTGCTTGCAGATAGAAGCAATGGCTTTTTGTGGTGGTTGGGATAGAAGAGGGGGGATCAAAACCACACTGTGTGCTTTAAGGGGGGATCACGTAAGTGTTCCGTTGTCGCAACAAAAATCCTCCACACCACCCAGGCGATAAATGATGACCGGTCCCTAAAACGCACGTGGACGAGATCGAGGGATTACTTTCAGAGTGCAAGCAGATTTACCAGATTACTGAATAAACGAGGTGAGCATTTAGTAATTACGTTTTTTTCTTTCTAGATGTCTCTTTCAAATTGAGACCCTAGTCATATAAGTATAGTCTTAAACTTAATTCAGTAATTTACTCTCTCTCTCTCAGTACTGAAAAATGGGAATTGAATGCGAAGTACACGCCAACCCTGTAACAACTTAAAGTGTCTCGACTGAAAATTTTATAGGGTCGGGGATACCTCCTAAGTTTGAGCATTTACTACTTCACCATGATCAAAAAAATATGACTAAATCGGAAAAAGGATACCATAGCTGTATTATAAAATTTGTTTTGCGTGTTTTATTGGCACTAGAGTTGCCATGGTAACGTTATGACTCAACTACGTTTTTTACTTGCCTTTGTTTTCGTTACCAGGATTTTTTTTCGCAGGCTAAGGGAGTTTGTACCTTCCATGGCTGCCCGATTATGGAAACGTTTGAACAAATTTTATGATGAGAGAGTTTTGGAAATACAGCACTTTGGAACGGATTTGTAAGGGTCATAAAAACAGTGAATATAACATGCTATCGACATAATTGACTAAAACCTAAAGAAGATGGTTAGCTTTGGATATGAAGTTTTATCTCATAGTGGTCATTGATTCCATTTGAAACTGTGCACGAAAAACTAGGGAGATTACTTTGGCCGAATACGTGAAAGAAGAATTCGATAAGCCTGCGTTCAGCTACTTTTGTTACCATTTTTGTATGTACTTTGGTCCAAGCCCACAAAGTTTATGTCCATTATTTTGTAGCATTTTTTTTAAAAAAAAACTTCAGTGACAATTCCGAGATTAAAAACAAGGAAGGCAATTAAATGGGTCTTCAAGTGTCACAAAGTTTCACCAGATTTCGTGATCACAAGCGAGCGTCCTCATTATTATTCACTTTCATAGGCTAAAAAGTTCTAGATTTCCATTCGTCTAAGATGTATTAGAAGTTTTTGTACTAAATTACCAACGATTTTCGGAGTCTGCCAGTGTTCTTCGAACTTAACCTAGATTTTGTGATTATCGCTAAAACAGTGTGCTATAAGAGGTCTCCGGAAAATTTCGGTATAGAGACAAGAAAACGTCCCCCAAAATTTTAGGCATGAAAGTAGGGTTACTCGGACCCACTGATAAGAGTTGCTAGCAGTTCTGCGGGTGGGACGACGAAAAAGTCACCTAAAACGTCGGTCGTCGGGTACCTCCGTTTCAGTAGACGGCCAAAAATAGACGTTCTATGAACTCCCTGGATTTCACATGAATCAGATGAATGTAGTAGCACTAAAGAAACACCAACGTCTAGTAAGCTTGCATATTCGCATGATATTCAAGCCTGCATACGCTTATTCAGGGATTGCTTTCTTATTTATCGAAGTGTAAAAATTTTGGATTTCTGATCATGGATTTATTATAGGTCCACTTCTCTCTCTATCGCCAGAAAACTGCTACGTCCAAGACCTCTAAGATAGCCAAAAAGGCATATAAGCACTCTAAGTGTTTCCCAGTTTGTAAAAATTATTTTGGTTTTAAGGCTAACCTCTTCTATAAAGCTGTATATACTTACCAGAGTGTATGCGTTGAGTGTTCTCTCCGTTTACTTTACAGATCGATATCAGCTGAATAGAATTATCCTCCTGTATTGCACTTCTGGAAAGTAACGGAAGTGGCTCCATGCTGCGACTGTCACAAACAGAAAGTTTAATAACTCATAAATTATTCTGTCTTTCCGAGAAACCGAAACGAAATTGTCACTGCTAGGCCATTTCCCAGTTGTAAGCCTATATGTTTCAAAGCGAGGTTAAATAAGTGCGAAGCCATTGCCACGAAAATGACTTTGTATTCTCGTGCAAATAAAACTCATTTTCACTTGAAAGATTTTGCACTTAGCTTTGTTTTGAAAGAGAGAGATTTTGAAGCTCGAAAATAGCCTATTGTTTATTGCGGTGAGTCGCCCTGAACCCTATTGCTTCACGCGCGGCCACCAGTACAGTTGGCGGTAACAAAAACATTTCCGGGAGAGACCGTGATGCAGGCATGCTCTCAGTGCTAAACCTTTAAGCCCCAACATCCACACACATAAATTCACCAGAACGATCTGCGCAGGATTTGGTTGAGAGACACCGCCGTTAAAAGATCACAATGCACTTTCCCTTAGGCGATCATTTCATTAATTTTCATAGCTTTATCTCTTGATTATGCAGGGGTCGCCCACCATCAAGAGAATCCAAGACAGTCTTGGGTTCTAAATTCCAAACCCGTGGATTCCGGATTCCGAGTACTGGATTCCGGATTCCGATCGTCAGTGGGCTCTGGATTCCTAGGGTTGGATTCCGGATTCCAAAGCCCAGGATTTTGGACTCCATGGGCAAATATGTCCTGGATTCCAGATTCCACGAGCAGAAACTTCCCGGTTTCCGGGGCCGGACTCCCTTACATAGGGCCATGATAGGCGAAATTAAATAGGTTATGGCTTAATGTCGGGTGGGTACAGATTTTGTAGGACGACCAAGAACAGAAGAAGTTGAGTTGAACGCGGCTTATTACTGAGCTTCTTAGTACTCCAGCAAGTACTAAGTAGAGTCTAAGTGAGTCTAAGTGAAGTTAAGCTTACAAAGGGGTTGTATTTATACTAAAGTATTAAGTTAATTGGTTTTTAAAAAGGACAAAATAGATGTCTGCAGGTGATATGAGTTTGCTAACAAAACAAAGTGAAATTCAGCTAAGTAAGGCTACACGTGGCGGAATTCGTAAAAAATATATAGCGATAACTTTATGACCAAATTCCTTCTCATCGAGTATCCAAACAAAATTAACCGTTAGTTGTGAAGTAACTAAGTTTTCCTAGGGTTCTGTCGAAACAGATTCCAGTTTACAGTTGGAAAAGTAAGTGAAATTTGGCTGAAGATGGTACAACTGAGAACAAAGAACTTAAAAGGTGTTAGGACGCGTCTAGCTAACAAGATTTTAAGGAGATCAGAAAGACTTATCATTATGCAAGCTTCGTTCGGAGTAGACGAGTGAGCGAACGTGCCACAAAGACAAAGAAAGCACCTTACTCAAAAAAACTATTATTTCCGCATCGCAGCTGCAAACACCTATTAAGGGGGTAATGACTTTCTAATACAAACTTCTATTCGTAAACCAAAATTAGTTTCTTAAGATGTTTCCTAACTTTAGTTAAAACCCAGTTGCGAAAGAATGAAACCATAGTCGTGATGTTTCCTGCACTAAACCGAGCGTACAACTCTATTTTTAATTAACCTTTTATTTAATACGTTTTATTGACTTGAAGTTGAACTGGCACTTCTGTCGCACCTCGCTCTGACATTTTTGTCATCCTTCGTTCGACTGAGTGGTCCTCAATGCAACTATAGCTCTACCCAATAACCCGACGTCATGTTTGTGTTCTCATTTTGAGAGCGCGGTGAAATGAAAATATAATGAAAGAGAATTGTGAAAGTTGAAATGGAAACTGAAAAATGTGCGTCTACAATAATAGCGTAAAGACTTTCGGAATTCGAAACATATCAGGTATGGAGCCTGGAGAGACTGATATGCTGACGGTGTTTTGAGCCGAAAAATCAACTCGCTACGTCGAACAGGGAAAACGATAGAAAAATCCTCACAGCCTCGACTATGTGCTGTTTTTTTTTTTTTGATAAAGTTACGGCAAGTGGAAGAATGAGCAGACAGTATGTCTACGATCGGAGCTTTCGGCCTTTCGCGGCATATTGAACAATAAATTCAGTCAATTAGGTTGTGAATTTGGCTCGAAACTGGGCGTGGCTAATCAAGTGACGTAGTCCACTCCAGAAAGCAAAAGAGAAATATTTTTACGTAGCAAAAATGCTTAAAGCATTTAACTTTCATAAGTGCTATTGAAATAAGAGACAGGGATCTGGGGACCTCCTAGCGAAAGATATATCTACGTCAGGTTAAAAGTTCATTATTAATCTAAAACCATAATTAATTTTCTTCCCACCAAATTAACGCCGAGGGTCTTTACGGTGCAACTAGCCAATACAACAAGTGAACCTTTGTTATATGTTCAACAACATCAAAGAAAGGAAATCTAGCTAAGGTGGCGTAATGAGTAACACTAATGGCTTCAAGTTAAAAAAAAAAAACAAGTTTTTACATTTTACCTTCACTGCTGCGAAATTATCATAACTTGTAATACTTCACGAGGTTGTTGAAAAAACGTTTTCTGAAGAACTTTTTTCCGGGGGGTTCCAAATTGCGTGTATCCCAGAACCGATATGAAGTCAATATGTAGTGGACGGTACAGATAATGTAGCGCTAAGTTCGTCTACGAAAATGCATTTATAAGTAAGCAAAAAATGGAACACAAGTCCTTTGTTAAGTTTAAATGTCTACTTTTTTTAAAAGTTGTTTTCTTCCTAATTCTACAAGGACTCTTTACTCAGTCAGTTCTTAACAAGGCGATGAACTTCTTGCACACGGCTGCTCCAGACCTGATGAACCTCATCCCTGTTGAGAGCAGAGCGTACCCAAGGACTGTCAGTGGTTGCTGCCGCATCACTGGCTCGTTCTGAGCATATGCTGTTGTAAGTGCACAAAAGGTACTTTGACCAAGGAGGCAAGAAGCTCCAATGAACTTCTGCGCATTCATCGAGGTCACGGACGCTCGTGAAGACGGTTTGCAAACCGTTGGGATCAGTAATGCTCAGGTTGTAGTCACCTTGGTTGATGCGATCGATGAAAGCTTTCATTTCACCCTCTGGGGCAAATCTGAGGTCCAAGCGATCAAGAACTTCTAAAACAAACTTCTGGCAGTTGCAGCCGACCGCGCCCCAGAATTTGCTGCGGTTGTAAGTGGTGCACACTTCAGCAATTTTATAAAGCGAGGTGTGGTTGGCATACCCAAGAAAATAGAGAAAGAAATCTCTGAGACGACAATACCACTCGATCAAGGTCGAGATGGGATGGAGAATCCCGTCAATAAATCGTTGATATAGGGATTTTCTCGGCACCATAATCTTGGCTAGGATTGCGCGCACGCTGTAGCGAGGAAACACAAGGGATGGTGAATATGGACCTACGCCCCACTCTACCCTCAAACCTCCAAGGTCGAGGCCAGCATGAAGAATCCAGCCTTCTCCAAAGCCGCAGAGTCTAGCAACACCCCTACCAATAAAGTTGTTGAAGTTTTCGTTTCCTTGCGAAAAAAATATGCTGATTGGTAACTCTCCCTCTCCGTTAGCTGCACGTAGGCGCAGAGCCTCCAATCTACGGAACTCGTCTTCTATATCATCTCCTCCTCTCATTTCAGATATACGTATGTCTTCATATATCTCGTGAAGTTCGTTTTTAATGGCATCAGGGTCGAATCTACCCTTAAAGAACGTCTCATAGAAAAGGTCTTTATCCCCTAGGCAGACTACAAGCCGCACCTGATCTTTAAACTCCTCAACATGAGAGTTGTTCTCAGTAAGTTTATCGTTGATCGTGTTGTACCAGTCCGGAAGCATTAGGCGCCTTTTAAGATTCTCTAGGTCCTCGGGGCTACGCAGTTGACCATCTTCAGCCATCCAATAGACTTGTCGAGCGTATGTGTCTGAACCATACGTCACATCAGGTTGGATGGCACCTGAGATCCCCCTAAGAGGAGAACAAATGCTTGGGTCCACTCTGTGATGTATTACCTGAGCTGCACCCATACTAGAAACACCGAAAAAACAGAGTTATAGAGGATATTACATGGCCGCGCGGTGATACTAAATGTCTCTTTGTGGTTGACCGAGAAGAAAAATTTTGTATCTCTAAAACGGCAGTTATGTAATGTTCACTTATTATCACAAACACCAACGAAATGCCTAACTATTTCACTCAAACGGTTTATTTGCTGCGTAAGACGCGAATTATTAGGGAGTTTAAGCAACGACGAGTCCTTTAGCCTTTAAATATGCCTTGATGCTACCAAATTTGTATTGCTAAGTGTCTTCACTCTGATAGAGACGATCTGCTAGAAAATTTGTTCAAAATCACGGCCCAAATTCGCAAAAAATCCACTTCCGGTTGACGTGCGTCGCTCAAAAATGTCGTTGCCTTAACTCCCTTAAGTAGCCATAGCAACAGTGATCTTTTCACATGTGAAGATACCGTTCCGAAAATAAGCCCCGGGGCTTATATTTTTCAAAGGCCCTTTTTAAGGGGCTTATTTTTGGAGGGGTTTATATTCGGAGGGGCTTATCTACGGAGGGAAATTTGCGTTTCAAAATCGATTGATCTGGCCTTATAGTTGGAAGAAAATTTACCGTTTTTGCTTTTTTTTTACTTTGTATTTGAGGGCAATTTTCCAATTACAAGCCCCCAAGGGGCTTATATTTGGAGCCGGGCGATTTAAAGGAGTGTTTTTTGTGTTACCGGTTTGGGAGGCTTATATCTGGAGGAGCTTATACATGGAGGGGCTTATTTTCGGAATTTTACGGTATCATGTTTTTGCGTGAAAGCTCACCTGGTATTTCATTGCTGTTTATATAATAATATGCATAACTTGTCTACTTTGTTTTAAGACTCACAGCATTTTACTTGTTCTCAATATTGTTATTTGAGACAGTTTGTACGGCTTTCACAAACGACATTGGTATTTAGCTATCAGTGGAAAGCAATTTTCACGCTTTTTGATTGGCTTCCTTCTTATCTTGACGACTCGTTTCACGACACTGTCGTGACTATCAAGTGGTTACGGTGAAGGACCCGAGTTGTACCAAGAAAGCGACGGAATTTAACCTGACGGTGTTTACCGGCAGCAACTGAATTTGCGACAAAAATTAATCGTAATTTAATTGCACTTGACAAAATCTCCGAAATATTTGTAAACATTGCCGATAAAAAAATTAAAACGTTTAAAGAATGTTTTGACTAAGTGACGTGTTTTATTCGGGCAAAAAAATAGTTTTTCATTTTAATTCAATTAATTTAGAAAATGTAAAACGATCGACTTAACAAGTTTCATACTTTTTTAAGTAAAAAATGTTGAAACAGTCTAGTAATGAATGAAGGCGATAAGACAATACCTTACTGCTTGACGATAACAAAAAAGTGCTTCGCAGTTGTAACATATTTTTGGAGCAACTGCAAATTAATCCTCCCAAAATTTCAGGATTTCAACGGGATTTTAAACTATGTCCTCTGCTTTAGCGCTGCATTGCTCTATCAACTGAGCTTTGAAGACCCAATATATCGAAGGATCATTGCGAATTTAAAAGTCAAGGTTTAATATTTGTAGGAGAGAATTTTTTCTCTTAAATTTGGTAAAGCTCGTTTTTTCAGGAAGTTAGATTTGGAGAAAAGATCAATGTGTTTTTCTACTCCTTTTAAAGGTTGGAATCTTCCTCATCGTCCTTACAATTTTTAAGTATAATAGTGTGTTAACAAGTCAGGTGGTATGCCAATCAAAAACATTTTTCTGTTTCCCTCCACTTTTTGAAAAATGAAGAAATCAAATCAGGCGCGTAGGATGGGGGGTTCGAGGGGTTCGGACGAACCCCCTTTGCAGGTCAATGGAGGAGGATTTTTATCGTGCGAGTGCGAGCGTTCAATCAGCACAATGAGAATGCTAAACAATGAGATGTACCATGGGCGAGAGTAGGCTCTCCTCACTGGCTATCATGTATATCAAGTACGATATGCCTAAATATGCCTATCCATCTGGACGAAGCTGTCAATTTATTTGAATGCCTTCTTCCGAGGATGATGCAATTGCAAAGTTTGCTTTACAAAACGGAATAGTCCTGTTGTGAGTTGATAATTAAGTAGCCCATGTCGTGGCCCCAGTATATACTATAGTGACCTAGTATTATATGTAGTCAAAATAATCCCACCATTAAAGATATTTCCTTAACAAACGTTCCAGATTTGACAAATGGAGTCTCGAAAGACGAAAAGCGGGGAATACGATTTTGGGGGACCTAGGTGATACGTGTTTAATACATATTGACGTTTGACGCTGCTTTCAGTACAAAGACAGCGAAGCCGAGGAACTGGGGGGCTTAAGCTTTTGCTCCGAGATACCTTGCAGCACACGTCGAGTTTTGTAAAATGTTTCCTGTACTTAGCCGGTATGTATCACTATGTATAAATGTTCCAAGTCAAACGGAAATACTGTTGTTATGAGTAAAAATACCTGTTATTTTAGACTTGATCGAGTTTGAAATATTCACGTGGAGACTACTGAAAATAGCATTTCCATGTTTCTAGATTTTAACATTTTCTGGGGGAGCAATTTGCCCCCAAGAAACCCCTAGAGGCTCGCGCCTTTGGCGCTCGCAGTATTTGCCGCTGTTAAGAATTATTCGCATACGAACACCCCTCTCAAACCCCCAACCCCAGCTACGCGCGTGCAAATTAAGTACAGTGGAACCTCGATGCAACAAAGAGCCAAGGGACTGGCAAAATATGTTTGTTATAACGAGGTTTGTTAACTTATATCGAGGTTCTTTTTGATATCGCCATATATTTTACTATTTGTGGGCGGGTTAAAAAATAGTTCGTTCAACCGAGGACTTCGTTACTCGTTATATCGAGGTTCCACTGTACCATACATTTTCATATAAAAAGTATCTTTCCTGGAATAAAAATTTTCCAGCACCTAAATTTATTTTTGGTCCGTTTAAATTCTATACTTAATGCGTAGTAAGCTTCAAAACGCCTCTCTTTACAGATAGACCTCTGCGTTTTCAAACCATCAAGGCTATGTAGCATATGAAACCATGCAGCCGGAATGGAGTCTTTGACTCGATGAAATCTGAAGACTACTCCACGGAAAGGTCCTTTTCAGCGACTTGAAATTTATAAATATGCATGGCTGCGCTCAACAATGACTCAAGAAAGGTTGAGTAATCTGACAGCTCTAAACAACAGGAGGGCATTTTGCATGCGTATGTGCGCATCAGCTGAACGACAATAGCGTGGGCGCATCAAATCTGATGGCGGGAAATCGAAAACTCGCGTAAAGTTACAGTCCTTTTAAAAGCCATTTCGTTGGTGCTTTGAATACCGTCCTTTCCTACAAAAAATGTCCTCCATGACAAAAATCGGACGTTTCCTAAGCGTGATTTTTCAGCAGTAGGTTGTCTTGACCTTTTAAAAGACTTTAAAGACTCAACGCCGAAAACCACTGGTCCTGTATAAGTCTGATTTTCACTGGCAAAGCAATGCATTTCTATGGTTTGATTTCCAAACTCATGGTTTTACTTTATATCTAGGAAGGAATGCATAAAAGCATGAAATCCATGGGGTTTTTCACAGTTTTTTGAAAGTTTTCGCGGAAAAATATATAAAAAATATATTCCAGAGGAAATAAAGAATGAGTCTGAGACAATAACAATTTTACGTGATTATGTAGCAGTAACTTGAGCATTTCATAAGCTCCCTTGCAGATAAAACATACCGCGAAAAAACGAATAACACTTTTATTTTTCTTTAACTCTAAAAGATACAGAGATTTTCCCTAAGCTACCATTTTGAAGCGACTCTTGAGTAACAGCTGCTGTGTTCCACTGATCGATTTCTTATTTTTAATTTATATTTCATGACAGTAGTGATCCATTCAAAACAGAGAATGGAAGAATTGAAGGTTTGTTCACCTTCAAAGCCTAGCTGTTAAGACATAAGACAGGAAGTTTGTTAGAGGGGTGCATATAATGCTGTTTCCTCAAAAAAGAAATGCCTCTGCTAAAGGACCCAAATGAGTTGGGATGCGACAACAAACATGACACAAATGGATGGCGGTGAATTTGTCTGTTATGTTTCTGATGAGAGCTCTCTACTGTGTCCAGATGAACCCCTTATGTAACTCGTACATAGAACCCTATGGGAAGAATTATCAAGCAGATGCTGATGCATTAAGCAAGAATGTGGTTCAATACAGGGGAGAATGTGGATGAAATGTTTCACAAATTAGCATATCAACAAATGTAGTATCCACAAAATGGTATCAGTTTAGGAATAAATGCAACAGAAGCCAGGATTTATTTAAAAGGTGTATTGATAACGTTTTATTTCGTGCTATTTTGGAGTTGGGGAGTTAGGCTAGATTTTCCTTAAAACGCCGAAATTATACCTGCCAAGTGCCACGCCTAAGGCGTGATTGTCACGCCTGCGGATCGAAAACTTGGATCTCACGCCTACTCACGACTGTGTTCCGATTTGTCACGCCTGGTACTGAAAAGTTTGAGCAATTACAGCATTAACTGACACATTTTGAAAAATATATTAATTATTTAAACAAACCAGAACCAAGGAGAGAAAAGAAAAGTCTATGTGGATGATCGACTTTCTCCGAATTCTCTTTTTTTAGTAACATAACAACATTCATAACAACATAACATAACAACATTCAGCCGCCGTCTTGTCTTCGATGTACTGTTTTGCGAAAGGAAAGACTGTCCTCTCAAGAGCGACAGCGAGGCTACAATAAACTCGCTTTCATCGGAGAAATACCTCGATAATTTAAAGAACACGTTTGTGGAACGTAGCTCCCAATATACGTCATACAGCTGCCTCTGTGGCACTTTAAAAGACCATATTGACGCATGAGCATACAAAATGCCCTCCAATTGTTCTAAACAGCCACAAAGAGAGAACAGCCAAATCCCCCCACCCCCCCTTCCCC